ATAGTAATGAGTGCAAAAACAGAATGACTTAGACTGCGGAAGAAAGGTGTATGAGCAATCACCGCTCCGCGAATTATCGCACCACAGAACTTTTAGGTACTAAAGCTTCGCTGGCGGTCATTGTCTCGTGCTAGTTGCCATATCAGACTTCCTTGATAGCAGAGGTATCTCCCTCAAAGACTGCCGCCAATGTTCTCCTTTCCTTATCTTTTCTTCGTTCACGTTCACATAGCTGTACCCTACATACCTAGGCTTTACGAAAGTTTTTTGAGCAAAGTGAAGGGGATCTTATTGAGATGAATGGTATGGGCAAGTAAAATTCTGAAGTAATGAAAGTCATGAATGACTGGATTACTATTTGATATTTTCGCTTCTTTTATTGGTATGCATATCATATCTCAATTTACGGATTGATACAGACACCGTGAAATCAACAAACTCAGGGAATTATGTACCGTAATGATAATATGATTGTTTCCTTGGTAAAGTGATGTCCCTTATTTTAGCATCTTTATCTTCCTTGATGGGTACCCATCCAACGCTACAAAAGCCGAGTACTGGCTATGAATTCGAAAAAGGGTCGAAAATGAGCCGTTTTCCATTCAATGTATTTTGTTTTTTTCCCGTTCCATACGTTTGATAAAAGGTTAAGACACTGCTCAGCAGTAGTGCAAATCTTCCAGTTTCTAAAGCATGGACCGATGGAGAGAAATCCACTGGTTTTAGGATGAGCGGGGAGGGGACGGACATACACACAGTTGAGGATGAAAGCAGCAAACCTCGCGGCGACATTCGTGGTGATTTAGACGACTCTGGAGCCTATCATTGGGGTACAAACTCGAGGTAAGGTAGGTATGTAGCATCAGGTGGATTTAGTTATCCAATCTATGTACTTAAAACCTGTACCCTAATGAAATACGCCAGAGCCGTTCAAACCACGAATTTCGCCGCGCCGCGTGTCCATCCGGAATGGGGTGAATGTATTCATACCCTAGCTGGAACCATCAATATAGTAGTGGATAGTGAGGCAAAAAGGAACCAGTGCTTTTGCTCCATTGTATGGGTACATTCATTCTCGACAGGCAGGCTCATGTCACTGAACCAATTTCGTGACCAGATTGCCGAAAAACTTGGCTGGACAGAATGGCCAATAACGCAAACGAAAGGTCACCTAGTTCCTACACTGACCCAGCTATGGGTTCTGGAAAGAGCGCGTGGTCGTGATGCGATAGCCCTGCTGTGCCTTCACCCGCCTATTTGTTGTCTTTCTCCATGACTTTTTCAAGGCGTGGTATTTGTGACAAGTTCAAGATTTGTGCCTTCAATTAAGGAAATGTCATAGAATGATATATGTTTTTACATTTTCTGTGAAGTTCTTTCGCATCTTATTAGGACGCAAGATTACTATGAGAGCCGCGTTCCCGTATTGGACTTTTGTTCCTACTCGGTTTTGCGGTTTGGTTTTTTTTTTTCGAGGTTCCAATTCTCGATGCCATGAGCGATAGCGGGGCTTTCTGGCATTGTCCTATCCGAGCTACATATGGGAAATAAATGACCGCAAATGGAGAGGGTTCACGTGGCAAGGAAAATTACGGCTGGATGGGTGAAGTCCTTTTAGGAACAAGACAAACCCAATCAAACATTAAACCCCTCTCACATCTGGATTAACAAGTGATTGGTGTTTTGAGACAGAAACAAATGTCCTAGGGGATGGTTTCGTAGTGCTATATAATGGCATTGCAAGGGAAGCAGCAGCCGTTGAAAGCAAAAATTATGAGCTTCTCAAGCAAGATTGATGAAGTGTAAAGGCATATATTGTACATTTGTTGCGAATTATTCGAAAAAACGAATTCGAATGACGTGACGAAGAAAACCTGATTCGCAAAATAGCAAATGTTGATTGATGAGAACGGCGTGTCCCTGTCAAAGTCAAGTAATGTTCCTACACACGCGGCTATGTGTTTCCGATGCAATTACTCTGTATTATCTATTCTAAGAATTCCTACAAATCCATTTATACCANAAGAAAACCTGATTCGCAAAATAGCAAATGTTGATTGATGAGAACGGCGTGTCCCTGTCAAAGTAAAGTAATGTTCCTATACACAAGGCTATGTGTTTCCGATGCAATTACTCTGTATTATCTATTCTAAGAATTCCTACAAATCCATTTATACCATCCGATTGGTCTATATTCGATCTTTCTCTAAGACTACGAAAGCTGCTGCTATTCGTGAGGCTCTTATTCCCCTTTCTGCAGCCGATTTTGATTACATTCGCCTTCGATCTTGTTGTTACCAAACTCATCCACTGTACAGCACACTGAACTTTACAAACTAGCTCTAGTTAGCTCTAGAAATGCAGAGCGCATAGCTCAGAGCTCGTCCCATTAAAGGTGAAAAAGACGCCTTCTCATTGTTTGCTTTGGAGGTTAGCTTTTCATGTGCAGTGATTCGAAGAAACTGAGCTCATAGTTAGCTTTGCCTCCTTTAATGGGGCGAATGAGTCGAGTTTTATGTTTTTTGACAGTACACCACACAACTAACAAGTGATAATTGTACAGAAAATGTAATTGCGTCCTTTATCGTGCAGCTNTCTTGTTGTTACCAAACTTCATCCACTGTACAGCACACTGAACTTCACAAACTAGCTCTAGTTAGCTCTAGAAATGCAGAGCCATAGCGCAGAACTCGTCCCATCCAAGGTGAAAAAGACGCCTTCTCATTGTTTGCTTTGGAGGTTAGCTTTTCATGTGCAGTGATTCGAAGAAACTGAGCTCATAGTTAGCTTTGCCTCCTTTGTTGGGGCGAATGAGTCGAATTTTATATTTTTTGACAGTACACCACACAACTAACAAGTGATAATTGTACAGAAAATGTAATTGCGTCCTTTATCGTGCAGCTACCAGCGACCATGCCTTTGAGTTTGAGCCTCTTAGCCTCGAACGCCTTCACATGAAAGTGTTCGAATATAATAGGTATGGCTACAGCAGATGAGAGGTGCTCCCTGCACCAGCAAGCGTAAACGGTAGAAAATAAATGATAATGTGATCAATATTGTCCAGCTTTTTTCGTCGTCGTAGTTGTTGGAATTGTTGTGAAGTAAGATTCGAGTAGAGGAACAGTTGTTATGTTGTCGGTGCAGTGAAGTAATGGTGGTCGGGCGATAGAAGAATAAAACTATTCTGAACCCAGTGTGATCAGTGCCACTGATCACTTTAGTGTAGTACGCCCGAATGGGATTTCCCTTGTTGGTTATACCTGCAAATCAGGAGGAGTACTGCTAAAATTAGAGATTCAGTTCAGCAATATCGTTGGTTCTGACTAAATGGCTAACTTGATACCATACGATCTCAGGATGCCAAGCTACCTTGCATTACCCCTACGAGTAAACATTTTGAGTAGAATTTCCAATTCAAACGAGATTCAGAATTTTTCATTGTGCTTGAGTTGAGCGTCAAACACCGTAGTTCTGTCTCGATTTTCCTTGGATTGTTCCATTGCTAGATTTTTAAAAATAGTGAGAAAACAGGAAGTACACCTCCTGCTTGATTTATAAAAATAGTAAGAAATAGTAGGAAAACAGGAGTTACACCCCCTGCTTGATTTTTGAAAATAGTAAGAAAACAGGTGTCCCCCACCCTTTTTGTTTTTTAAAAATAGTAGGAAAACAGGAATTACACTCTAAACCTACAACACCCTACCTTCCTCACCTGAATCTTGAATCCTATAACGCCCACATCGTGAATGTCACCCGGTATGCTTAGCCGTTATGTGAGTTGCTAGAATTGGAGCAGCGTTTACCGTTTGGCAAGGTACAAGATGAGAAAATAGTTTTCGTCTGGAGAAAAGCAACCGTAACAAAAAGTGCACCGTTGGCGTCGACATATTCCGTGCACTTTTCTGGCAATGAAATGGCGCGCTTCCAAAGAGCTCGTCATGTTTCGGGTCTAATCACTGGACTGGTTGAGATGCTGAACGTCTTCTAGCTCAGAGGCGCCCCATTGATCAGAGGAGATGTAGGTTCAACAGCGACTGGTTTTCGACTAAGGCAAAAGAGCTTCCTATCTTTATCTTCACTTATTCCTATCTTTTCTTCTTTTCTAAGGAGTATCTTTGATTCCCTACTTACCGCTATCGCATGTTTCACGTCAACATTTTTCAACTGTTTGCTCAATGCTTTGTTCACACCACTAATTGGCGTACATCTTTTTGTAGGCAGATTGAGATATTTTGATTTAAGTATTAATGGCACTATCGTATCAGCCTTTGATTAAGCTTTCTCATGAAAAAGAGCACTGAAGTTATATTTTGATACAACTTGATTGAACGGTGATTTTTGTTTACTCCAATTTTTGCTTGGGTAGTTTACAGGAGAGTAGCATGCAAGACATCCCCTTGCTAACAGTTCCGTATACCCTTGGTAGTATGACATGCAGAGTGGTCGTAAAAAGATGGCCAGAGTTTGGTCACACAATCCATCAACTTCTTTCTTTCTTTTTGCGTACACCATCATTGGTATGACTCTTTTATTCCGAACCAAACAGGCAGTGCAACTGCTCCAGTGTTCTCTCAGTAACTCCATCCAAACACGTATTGGATTGATTTTAAATGTGAAAATAAAAAGTTGTCCACTATGGTGATCTTTGAGAGGATCCACCAGTTTGTTGTGTTTTTCTGGTTCTGATCCTTTAGCCACAGATTGCTATGCGTAGCCACACGCCATTTCTGTTTGTGGGATGTCGTGTTTTCACGCACTCTTTCTATTATTCTACCCCGGTAATTATGGCCATTTTTTTTCAAAATGACGTCATCGACGTTGGTTCCTGAGGGTCACCCTTCCTGCAGGCCAATAACGACCTACACACTCTAGGGTTGAACACGTTCTCGGGACTCACGTAAATTTCTCTTGTTGATGACACTCTGGACTCATCAGTCGGTTACCCGCTGTGATGTTGGGGATGGAACACGGGAAAGTTCCTAACTTCCATTCACTTCTAAATGTCGTCCATTATTTCGACGCCCTCATCGCCTCGCCATGTTATTCCGAAATCGTCAAGTGAAGCGATTTTGGAGGAATCCCCCACGGCGGAAGATGCTGAAGAAGTGTGCCCAATTGATTCATTCTCAGCAGCACCGCAAATTCAGAATCAATTTGTGAGTGTCGACTATCCACCGATCACAGGTACAGCATTTTTGCGTACTCTGAAGGTCCTCAAGAAGCGGACTGTTCTACAATGACTGTTCTTTCGTAGTAGAAGTACTAGCGTCGACTTGAGCAAGTTTTAGAGCAAGTATCCGTTAATAATCAGAGCGATGCCCTTGAAGTCCTCACTACACACAAGAACTCGGTGATAACTGAAAGAACACCTCCATTTGAACGTGACAATTCAACGGTGAGTGAACAGTCTCAGCACCATCTCCCGAAACCAGGTGGCCACTCAAGGCTACACCGTCTTCAATGTTCCGGTACTTAACTATTGCAATGACTTTTCAACGGTTTAAGGCTTTTTATCGTTTTTTGCGCGCTGTTGTTCTAGAACTTTCTTTGGGAAGGAACACAAAAAAGCGATAATGAAGCAATCTTAGAAAAAATCTCTCCATTGACGGCTGACAAACTAGAGCTTTAAGTGACGAATACTCAAAGTCCACAGGATGTCGCTCTGCGTTGATACCTGGCTTTGACCTTGCTGGTAATTGCCAACCTATGCCACAAGCCTCACTTCGCTTTGCACTTGTACTAATCCTCACTCCAATGTGAACAACACCGCAAGTAACTCCTTGTAATATTTGATACAAAATAATCACAAATGGTAATGTAAGATATAATGAGCATTAGGCACGGATAGCACTAAATCGGGTTTATTGTTTCGTTCCATACACGCCAGCCTTACTAGACTTTCGGATTGCGTACTGCTGACACTTCATAAGGATTTCAATGAAAGCTGAAGATATAAATTAAATTTCTTAAATTCGTGCATAACCTGAACGGGTTCTCTTAGGACCTCTTACTACAGCCCGCTGCACTCTTCTCGAAACATTTCACAACTAGGTAGATTCAACCAATGTATTCCTGGAGAAGGTGGTGTAGTTTTATGAGCATAGCCTTAGGATTCAAACCTAACAAGGCCATACTAACAGCCCATCCTTCTCGGATCGATAATGGTACCAAACTTGTCCGTAAGATTGAATGTATGACTTGATCATCAAGAAGCTACTACAACGGCTACTACAATTCATTGTAAAGGCTACATATGCATTTAAAACGCCTCTACATTCTGATTGGAAGTTGAGGGCGAGGGCGCATCCCAAGGCGGGATTGATCAGCTCAAATAGTTCATAACTCCGTCCCCCATGTGAACGCATTTTAGTCTTGCTCGAAATTTTCTAGAGATGACATTGTGCTTTGATAAGAACAACCCTCTGACAATTTCTCCAAATATAATCGAGGCGCAGCTAAAGCTGCTAAGTTTTTTATACCCCTATACTTTTGATACCTTGTTAATACTGTTGAAAACAGTTTATAGCTAAAAAGAATACTTTTTATTGCTTCCTCAAGTTCACGATCAAAGAAAACGATCAGTATTATCAACGAAATTCGCACTGGACACTCCAATACATATAATGAGATATGTATCCGCCACTTCCGCAGCCAAACAAAAAATAGTATAATCATGTCTTTAAGATAAGAAAGATCCTTAAGCTCGGCATTCGAGAGAAACGGAAAGTTCAAGCGTGAGGTATTATTTCATAATTAACATCATAAAACTATACGAGAGTTTATGGTTTTCTATAGTCACTTTTCAAGATTTCTCTTGAGGTTCTCAAGATCGGTTCTGCCAGTAGCGAATTCTATTTGCGTCGTTTTCAAGCGTTCGTGGGATGTAGACATTCTTTGAGCCTTTTATTGTCGACATCCAGACTATCACTGAGCACTTTTTCACATTTCACCTACTCACGCAAACCTGATATTGCACATATCTTCGGCAAAACTGAGAACGATTGATGATTGTCTTCTGATTTTAGAAGGACATGATCTTAGTCGACCGTGTACGGGAGAAGCTGCATATCAGCAATGAACTCTATCGAGCCGCTCTTGCTGAAATGTTCTGCACCGGATTCCTGCTGGTTAGTTATTTTGGTAGCTCGGGGGTTTAACGAGGGAAAATAAACTGTACCAGGTCCGTAGCTACTGTGATTTATCGCTCAATTTCTCCGAGTTCCTTCAAAATTTGACATATCCGTTTCGTTAGACCTTTTCTCCAGATAGGACTTTACTGACAATTTAGTGGGTTTTTCACTCTTAGGACACACCTGAATCCCGTGACGGCCTTTAAGGCACAGTTCATGATAAAAATGGTTTCTGAGATTCCCCTGTAGAATTAAAGGCTTCCCTTTATACAATGCATGCCGTTATAAGGTCGTAAAACGACCCGGACTGGGCATAATTAGGGGCCAGAGATGGTATCGTGTGCATGCCACATCCGTAGTGGACGTGTTTCAACGGCTTTGTAGAGGCTGCACTATCCCAAAAACTCCCATGTAGGAAGTTCAAAAAACTTGTCATAACCTATGGCGACAGTGGGAGGCAGTTTTGGAGCAATTTCGGCTTGATGTATTCATCTCTTTCCGCAATAGGAGCAAGTTCCTCCCTTTCCACTATTTTTGAAAAGCTGTGAAGCATTCGGATTTTTTTTTGCTCTATTCGCCACCGAAGTACTCCTTTACATCGACACTTCCGTTTTTCAACCTAAAAAGGGTACCTCAAAATTATCGTGAACTGTGCCTTCGAACCCTCGATCATAAACAACAACGATGACAGTGAGGAAAACAGTTCCAGCGATCGAGCAATCAAACATAAGAAGGGACGGGCTATGAAGCGACCTTCTTCTATAAGGTAGTATGCGACATTCTTCAAGTAAAAAATCTTGATTGTGAAATGGGACACTATACAAATTTCTTTTGCTTCTCATACAAACCCACTTACTTACTTAGACTTAGTTCCTCCCGTGCTGGAGAGCACATCGGG